AGCGCAGATAGCCCTAGTGTAGCTTTGCGCGAAATTCAAACAAAACAAAACAAGCTACATCTTTATAGGTGTTAGCACAGGGGTTATGACAGTTAAATAGAACAATGTATCTAGATTAGGAGTTTGATGGTTATTTCTTATTTGTATCTATGATAATTCGTTTGGATTGGAGGTTTAATTTCATGGATAACAACAAAAACTATATGTGAGAAAAATTGGGGTAATGTGTGCGAAACAGAATTTGAACGCGGTCCTATTTGAATGTCGTTTGTTGTTTTTTTAATTAGTTTTTGCACTCTAATGTCTTAATGAACTTTGACCCGTCTATGCTGATGTGTTATTAGTTTTTGTTTTATTTCCACAAAATACGTGTCCTTTACGTACATAAAAACTAGCAACGATTTTCAGCCCAGTGTAAACATTTTTTTTATTTGCTTGTTAAGCACAAAGGTCTGTCTGTGCTCTGCCCACCATGCGTATTGAAACCCGAATTACAATGTTATAAGCCTTCAGGCTTACCACTGATCTGTAAGATGTGATATATTTTGGTCTGTCTTGTACTATAACTTAGGAATTTTCAGATTCGATCTGCTACTAGGTAGCTCCACATTCGAGCTTATTTTCAAGAATTGTGTTTTTATTTATATTTTGATGTAAAGATATCGTCGCTTTTAATATTGTTGCGTCATCGAGATCATGTGATTCTCACGCCCTCTACTTTCTAGAACTATCCTGTACTTTGGCGAATGCTCTAGTATTTACTAGATACAGGGTAGTCTGGTATATAAAAGAGGGTGACAACGTGACGGTAATGTAATAGTGTGTGTATAGGTAATTGAACTGCAGTCAGAGAGAGACGTATTGTTGAAGTTAACGTTCGTTGTTAAAACGTTTGTTATAGAGCGACTGTTGAAAATAAGTGTATCGTGAAGTTATATTCAGAAAGAATAAACCAGTTTTATTAAGTAAGGACTTGTGTCGCTAAAGTTTCGTCGGAACGAAGTTACGGAAAATTAATTAACAAACGGAGACGTAACAATATTCAGTTAATAGATCATTTCGATGGATACTAAACACACACTAATATGGTTTAATTTCAGATCATTGTATCTACTGTTTTGTGTCAATAAGGTTCTTTTACACAGTTTTTTGACACACTAGTAATAACTAAATATTTTAAAATGTTATAGACCGAGTCAAATAATTACTAAAATAAACAAGTAGTCTTGTTGTAGTAAACTGCTTTTATTAACATTTTGATTTCATTGGGGAACAACGTACATAAAATAGACAAAAGTTTAAATCTGTTGCTGACATCGACATGAATCACAAAAATAGGGTTAGAAAAGAAAACCCACATTTTAACTGGTAGCATAATTATGGCATCGAAACAAGACAGTACATAAATTAGACAAAAGTTTCAACCTGTCACTGACATTGGCTTAACATGAATCACAGAAATAGGGTTAGAAAAGAAAACCCACATTTTAACTGGTAGCATAATTATGGTATCGAAATTAGTTAGGTGGCGCACATGAAAACAAAGGTATATAACAAGAGCGTTAATAACAGTAACATGTTTATATTCACTATGGTTGATAATTTGTTAAGCTGTACAAAAATAATACATAATACTTGTTCCAGGGACCCGTTTCAGTTTTGAAACTGTTTTTTTTAAAATAAGTTTTGAATTAACTTGGAAGGATGTGACAAATGTAGTTCAGGAAATAAAACTGACCTTGTGTTTAAAGGACTAGAGGATGACGTCATACAATAATATTAATTAACTCGAATATGAACAATATTTGGTAACTCAGTGGTGTCGTATATGAACAATATTTTGTAACTCAGTGGTGTCGAGTATGAACAATATTTTGTAACTCAGTGGTGTCGTATATGAACAATATTTGGTAACTCAGTGGTGTCGTATATGAACAATATTTTGTAACTCAGTGGTGTCGTATATGAACAATATTTTGTAACTCAGTGTTGTCGTATATGAACAATATTTTGTAACTCAGTGGTGTCAAGTATGAACAATATTTTGTAACTCAGTGGTGTCGTATATGAACAATATTTGGTAACTCAGTGGTGTCGTATATGAACAATATTTTGTAACTCAGTGGCGTCGAGTATGAACAATATTTTGTAACTCAGTGGTGTCGTATATAAACAATATTTTGTAACTCAGTGGTGTCGTATATGAACAATATTTTGTAACTCAGTGGTGTCGAGTATTAACAATATTTTGTAACTCAGTGGTGTCGAGTATTAACAATATTTTGTAACTCAGTGG